AATATTGTGGGAAGGTATATATCGAAACCACCAAACGATCCATGGGAACAAGACTGAAAGAGCATAAATGAAACTGCAGACTAGGCCAAGCGGACAAGTCAGCTGTGGCAGAACACGCACTTAGTGAAGGAGACCACATAATTTAATTTGAAAACGCAGAACTAATTGCTCCCAACCAGGGATACCATAGCCGACTGGTACGGGAGGCAATAGAGATCCACAAACACACGGATAATTTTAACAGAAAAGAAGAAGCGGTAAACCTCAATCGAATATGGAGCCCCTTATGAGGAATTCGAGAATAATGAACAGAATGACAACAGGCAGCAAGATTTTTAATGTTCCAGGTTCAAGTGCAGGTACAAGTACAGGTACAAATACAGGATTACGTGTCTTGCATAAATACGCTTCAGGAAGCCTAAAATTTAGTAATCGGACAGCAAGCCATGATGGCTCGAACCTCTGAAGAAGCTAGGCAAGAAATTCCAAAAATCCACGGCTTTCAAACTCAAAAAACAGTGACACTGAAAACCTCAGCCGCGAAAGTCTAAACCATTTTGTCAATGTACGGAACGCTTTCGAGAGTAGACTGTAGGTGGAAGTCATTTTGAACAATTAATCCGTTCATTTTGTTTCCACTGATATTATTTGTTGTTGATTTCCTCATCAAAATGAACGACAGCGAATTTTCTGTACTTTCTCAAATAAAANAAGGTCACAACGCCTTGACTTCACTGCACAACAAAAAAACTTCACCAAACAACAACCAATAAAAAAAGCAATTAATACGTCATAGTGGTGGGGGGAGGCCGAGAATCAGCTGTAAACAACTACTGAAGTAATAGAGGGACAAAAGAACTTTCAAATGATGAATCATTCGGTAGTTGCTGACCATGATTTTCATATCAAGAATTAATCCCCTAGAAATAAAAATTGAAATGCTCTTTGAAATTGTCGATTACATGGGACTTACAGGGAAGGTCAAGTTTTCGTTGGAACGCCCTGTATATCGTCGGTTCATTTGTGTTAATTAACTTTCATTGAAGTGGAAATGTTCAACTATCCAGAACGATTGAGGATGTTATAATCTGTTCACCATATTCTAGATTCACCCTCTATTTCTCTAGCTTGAAACTATTTTTAATTCAATGGAAAGTATTATTTATGCAGCAAAGGGCTTACGAAAGAAAGTCCGTTGCCTGTTGAAATTTTTATGAGTAACCGTGATAATGAACTTGCAAATAAGCAGTTGAACGATAGTTTTTTATACTGGTACAGACACGTAGATGATATCTCAGCCTGTTTATCTGCTACAGGTAGGTGGTTGGGCAAAATTGTCCAATTTGTCAATTCCAGTCATCCGTCAATTGAATTCCCCACCGAAATGGAGATAAATAACTATTATCGAAATCGATAATGAACGTCCACTTTTTCTTTTTCATTGGCTTCTTTTTGATTTTTTTTGTCTGGAAAGAAGGAATTGAAAAGATCACAAAATTTACTCGAGAAGATATTCCACTTTCATTAGTATAAGCTTCACTTAAAACTTGATGCCAGGTAAGTCGTCCTATTTCGGATATGAAATAGCCAATTGTACTTTCTGAAAATTGTCTTTTATAAATAAAATTGGAACATTGGTACATTGGTACATACAGGCTGTTCAATAGTTATGAGTTGGGTTCGATGGTCTGAGAAGCATGAATTCATAACGTTTAAGGTATAGTTCAATTGCTTTCTGAGAATAAGATAATAATAATATCAATACAAGTTCCAGATCTGTTGGTTATACGAGTGTATTCATTGATAGCACAGCGTCAAAAGAGTTTAAGATATTTAAGTATTCAGATTTATCTTTTGATTCTACCATAGAATTCGAATTAAAATTCCCGGCTATGATGAACAAGCCATCACTTCTCAAGAGTAACAAAAGTGAAGAGGACATATTCTCAAAAAATAGAAAATCAACATTTGGGGGCGATATATAGGGTGTTAATTAAGTATGTACCATAAATTCAACAGACGATTCTTTAGGTAATTTTAAGACGAAATGTTCATATAAACATGGGTCCGCAAATCCTTCGTTCTCAAGATACAGGGTGTTAAAATAAAAATAAAAAAAAGTTATTCGTAAATATCTTAAATATCCTTTACCTAATTTTGTTGTAATTTGGCAAT